CGCGAAAAGCCTAGAACGTGGATTCGAGGGTCCAGCATCGCTTCAGGTCTTCCAAAGATTACTAATAATGTTTGCCTCGCTCACTCCATCTCCCACTACATCCTCACTGTCAGGCCAGCCTCATCATCCTCGATGTCCCCCTCCGCCTCCCCTTCTCACTTCCCCCTTCTCCTCCGATCCTCCTGCCCCTGCTCCCCCATCCTTGTCATCTTCCCCCTCCTCCGATACTCCTTCCCCCATACTCGTCCTCCGCTCTATAAATTTATGTATGTATATGAGCACATGCTTATATGTATGTACATTAGACATACATACACATATACATATATATAGTACATACATACATACATACATACATACATACATACATACATACATACATACATACATACGAACAAACAAACAAACAAACAAACACACACACACACAAACAAACAAACAAACATACAAACATACAAGCATACAAACATACAAACATACAACCATACAAACATACAAACATACAAGCAACCAAACAAACAAACATACAAACATGCATGCATGCATGCAAACATACATACATATATACTTACGTACGTACATACATACACGTACATACGTACATACATACATACATACATACATACATACATACATACATACATGCATGCATGCATGCATGCATGCATACATACATACAGGCAGACGGACAGACAGGCAGACAGAGAGGCATACATGCATACATAATATATATATATGTAGATATATATGTATATAATGTGTTCATCCTCCTGTTCCTACTCCTGCCCCCTCCTCCTTCGCCGAAAATGAACTCATCCTCATCAAACTACTCAACATCAGCATCGTCGTCGTCAGCATCACCACAATCATCAGCATCACAATCAGCATCAGCATCCTTATCAGCAGTATCATTGCCAACAGCATCATCATCCTCATCATCAGCAGCATCATCGTCATCATCACCATCATCAAACTCATAAGCATACTCTGTATCGACATCCTCACCAGCAGCATCAGCAGCATTATCGAACTCAAAGTCAAAATCATCATAATCAACAACAGTATCGTTAACATCATCATCAGCAGCATTATCTCATCAGCAGCAGCACCATAAGAATCAACAGCACCATCGTCGTGATCATAAGCAGCATAATAATCCTCATCAGCAGCATAAGCATCAGCATAGCTATCACCGTCAACAACAAAACATCAACATCAACATCAACATCAACATCAACGTCAACATCCACATCAACATCACCACCATCATCATCAGCAGCAGCAACAACAGCAGCATCGTGAGCAGAATCGTCATCAACATCATCACCACCGCCACCATCATCATTCCCATCGTCCTCATCTTCGTCATCCTCCTCTTCATCCTCCTCTTTATCGTCTTCGTCATCGTCATCATCAGCACGATCACTATCGCTGTCGTCATCATCGTCATCCTCATGCTCATCCTCATCAGCATCATCATCTTCAGCAGTATCACCATCGTCATCATGAGCATCATCGACATCATCATCGTCGGCATCATCATCATCAGCAGCATGATCACCATCATCATCATCGTCATCATCATCCTCATCCTCAGCATCATCACCACCCTCATCATCATCACCATCATCATCGTCATCAGTTTCATCATGATCAGAATCAGCACCCTCATCATCATCATCCTCATCATCATCACCACCATCATCCGCATCACCATCATGATCATCACCACCCCCATCATTCTCATCACCATCATCAACAGCAACATCATCATCATTATCATCATCATCATCAGCAGCAGCATCCTCGTCCTCATCCTCATCATCAGTGCTCAGCCCTCCTCCTATTTCTCATCATGCTACTCCCCAACCTGCCCCTCTCCTCTCCTCCACCTCGTCCTCCTCAGACTCGACCACCTCGTCGCCCCCCTATCGTCATCTCCTCTCTCTCTCTCTCTCCTTCGCTCTCTCTCTCTCTCTCTCTCTATCTCTCTCTCTCTCTCTCTCTTTTTCTGTTTCTCTCTCTCTCTCTATGTATAATCGTTATCTCTGCTTCTCTCTATTCTGATCATCCTTCACCTCCTCCTTCTCCTCCTCCTCCTCGTCATCGTCCTCCTCCTCCCCCTGGCCCTCCTCCCTCCTCCTACTCATGCTCCTCCCTTAGATGTAACGGTTAGGGGGCAGCTCAGGTGGAGAAAATCCGACATAGAATCGGCAATGCATCGACGATAAATCGGCGATAGGCACCCGATGGCGAATCCGCACATTCCTGGGCTGGTGGGCTACCAGGCCCTTATCGGCGATGACTAGGCGACTGGGGGACAATGCGTTCACCCCTGAGCCTACAGCCTGCGAAAATTGGAAGCGGACGTGTGCAGTTGAAAAAACTGGCATTCGCATGCACGTCATGCATTAAAAAAGCGCCCCATGCAGTCACATCGGACGCTGCACGCTCGCCGAGCCGACGCGGGCCAAAACGTTCATTAATATGATGCGACGCTTGGAGCGCGTGGGCGGCGGACCCTCCGTGCTCGAGCCACCTTGAGACTCTCCGACCCGTAGGTTGGCACTACAACCAGAGAATGCCGGACGGGTCTCAAAATCTTCAAAGATGGTGCAACTTTACACGCCAGCTGGCCCCCGATGGCGGTCTCGGTTTCAAGTGCCTCACAGGGTTTTTGAGGTGCCCCGAATCCCTCGGCGCCGAGCACATCCGCGAGCCCCACACGGCCTCAAAATACAACGAGACTCTCGGCGACGAGCACATCCGCGCGCCCCGCGCGGACTCAAAGTGACGCTAAACCTTCGGTGCCGAGCCCAATCACGCGTCTCACAGGGTTTCGCGAAGTCTGAAAGTGCAACCCCTGTGCGCCGAGCACATCCGCGCGTCCCTATGGATTCCACACGGCCAAGAAACCCCTGGCGCCGAAGCTGCAATCCGCGCGTCTTACCAAGGCCTCAGAGCTACACGAAACCTCGTCGCCGATTCCATATGCGAGTTCGACGAGGGGCCCAAAGAACAACGAAACCTTTTGTCGCACACTGTGCCCAAGGACCACGCTTCTTAATACAGCTGATACCCCTGACGCATTCGCTGATCAGGGAAACGCGCAAGCATACCATAACGCAAGCTCGCAACAAGCGAGCATGCAACCATGTTGGATTTGAGACGGCGAATGCAGACAGTACCATTGAAACCCTGACGAAGACGCCGCGAAAAATGCGGACCCGACGCGAGCGCAGAATCTATTCCCAAACAATTGTTCTCGGCCTGTATCCCCCCTACCGTTGCCCCTGATTCCCTATTCCTCTCCTCTTCCATCCTGCCTCCCTCCCTCCCTCCCTCCCCCTCCGATTTCTTAGACAAGCCGCGGAGCGAAAGCTCGCAGCGTCACCCTTTTCCTCCTCCTCCCCTTCGTCCTCCCCCTCCTCCTCCTCCTCCTCCTCCTCCTCCTCCTCCTCCTCCTCCTCCTCCTCCTCCTCAACCTCCTCCTCCTCCGCCGCCTCCACCGCCTCCGCCTCCGCCTCCGCCTCCGCCGCCCCTGCTCTTCCCCGTTCTCCTCCTCCTCCTCCTCCTCCTCCTCCTCCTCCTCCTCCTCCTCCTCCGCCTCCTCCTCCCCCTCCTCCCCCCCCTCCTCCCCCTCCTCCTCCTCCTCCTCCTCCGCCTCCGCCTACTCCTCCTCCGCCTCCTCCTCCTCATCATCCCCTGGTCCTCCAGTCGTCTCGCCAGCTGCACACTGGCGCCGATCCTGGCCCACCGCCGCCTCGGACGCAGCACCCCTGCGCACGGTGCGCGCATTCTCCCAGTTCCTGGCCCTCGAAAGGGGCCCCCGGTGTCCGTCTGTCGCGAAGCTGCTTCACGGCGCGGACCCTCAGAGGCCTGGACCTTACACTGATGATGTTAAGAACGCTGGGGGCCGTTATGTCCGTTTTCAAGATCGACGGTGCTCTTCCGTTCTGACGCCGCTCTGATTTCGCTGGGGTTTTGTTTCGCGCAGCTTTCGTTTGGATTCCGTGTTGCGCTACCGCGTTAATTTTGCTTAGGGCTGCCGTGCTTTTCCTTTCTGGTTGGCCGGAGACCGACAAGTTGAAAACGATGGAAAAATGCCCTCAGCGGTTTAAACATCAAAGAAGGCCTGGACCAGTTCCTCATCCCAAGCCGTGTTTGAAGGTCTCGCGGCCTGGCGAGGGCCCCCGGAGGCCGAAAACTGCCGAAAACCTCGCGTCGTGCTCGCTAAGGGGAGTGGTGGTTGGGGCAAGGCGACTTGGATCGCCGCGGGGGGTGCTAAGGGGATAGAGGGGTAGGAGTGGATGCCAAGGTGAGTTAACTTATACCTGGCCAAACCTGCAGGCTGTAGCGAACAAACTAGTTACACGTGCCCTAAATGGCTTAGGGTGGTTCGATAAGTCCGCTAAGTGGACTCCGCCCACGTTAGCCTGGATCTGTACGCCCTTATGCCACTTAGGGTATTTGCAACTTTTGTAAAAGCTAGGTCTGACCAGATATAACCCACCGTAACATCCACTTGTAAACCCTTATCCCCTTCGCAGACCCTGTGGCGATCCAAGTGAAGGGGAAAACAACGGGGGCCATGGCAAAGACGGAACGCGGAGACATCGTGCCGATCTTGGTCACCGACCGTCTTGGTCAACGTCGATTCGTGGGTCATCCTCGCCAAATCGGTGGTGGCCGGCATGGACCATGTCCAAGGTTTCAGATCCCCGACGCCGTGATTTGTTCATGACGTCGACCCCTAGCAGTCTCGACCCATTCCCCAGGGCCAGTTTTTCATCCCGACCCCTTCTCGACGGCTCCGAGGCTCGGCGAAGGCCCCCACAGGCCGCAAATAGCGAAAAACCTCCCGCCATAAGTTCTCATGTCTGGAGGTCGGCAACCCCCGCGGCAATCCAAGGAGGACGCCGATCCCGGCCCTGCGATGGGCCCAGCCACGACTGGCGCTGGCGCGTGCAGCCGGCGCGCCCTCCCCGAGGCGTCAGGGCGCGCCGCGGGTCGAGCTCGGGCATCTCCCCGAGCGCGGGCGTGCTCGGCAAGGGCCTGTCGGCGCGGGCGGCTGCGTGAGCGGTGGGGCGCTGGAGCCTGCTCCGCCCTCTGCCTCCCGCCGCGGTCCTCCCGCTCCCCCCCGGCTCCTGCTCCCACTCCACCCGTGTCCCTCACAGGCAACTCCTCGCGGTCGCGCACCCAGACGTGTCGGCGGGGAGGGCCGCGCGCTCAGCCCGAGACTTCCTCGCAAAACTTCTGCTCCGGAAGCTGGAAAAGTGTGCAGCAGCTTCAGAGATGGAGATCGGGTGATTTGCAAAATGTGGCTCACGCCTTGGCGCCGCGCACACTCGTCTCAAAAATACGCAATCGTTTCACGGATGGAAGGCGGGTCGTTTTCAAAATGTGACTCTCGTCGCAAGGCCGCTCACATGCGTCTTCAAAGTGCGGAACCGTTTCACGGATAAAGGGTGCGTCGCTTTCAAAACGTGTTAGCGCCGCGCACATTCGTTTTCAAAGTGCGCAACAGTTCCACAAATGGAGGGCGGGTGGTTTCGAAAATGTAGCTTTCGCCATCACGCCGCACATATTCGTCTGAAAGGTTTGCAACAGCTTCAGAGATGGAGGCCGTTCCCTTTTCAAAACATGGCTCCCGCTTGAGCGCCGCGCACATTCGTCTCACGAGTTTGCAACATGTTCGGGAATTCCTTGGGTAAAGATCTCAAGAATGGCGTTCTGGCACGATTTGGGGTCGCCAGGACGCAACAATCACTTTGGCTCGCGATGCTGAAGTCCCAGGGATGGTTTCTGGCAGGACCTAGGATTGTCAGGACGCAACGGTCACGTTGATCCGTGGCTTACAGGCTCAGGAACCGTGCTCTGGCATGACTGAAGATTATAAAACGATTGTCTTCTAATGGGCCACCTTCCGCGATGAAAATATATTATTTGAGGGACCTATGAAGAGGGAACTTGGAGGGAGGGCTTATTGCAACATTGTTGATGCGCCTTGGGCTTGCACTGGTCACTACGTCTTCTCCTGCTCCTCATCTTGCTCATCATCCTCCTCATCATCATCAGCGTCATCCTAAGTCCACGTCGTCGTCATCTTAACCACCATCATCATTGACAACAGCATCATCACAATCATCCACCTCCTCCTCTGCTAGCCCCAGCTCGTCCGAATCCTACACTGTACCGATGTTACTCCTCGTTCTCCCCATCACCCATCCACCTCACATCCTCATCATCACCACCATCATCATTCACTATCAGAACCATCCTCACACCACCATCGTCATCGACCCCATCATCAGCACAATCACCAGCATCATCGTTATTGGCACCATCATCATCACTGGGATATCCCACCCCTCCAACTTCCTCCTCCTGTTCTTTCTCGTCAAAGTCCTCCAACTCCTCCTCATCCTCCTCCTCAACCACATCGCCACAATCATCACATCACCACCACCACCACCACTATCATCATCATCATCATCATCATCATCATCATCATCATCATCAGATTCACAATCATTAGCATATTCATAAGTCGCCATACTGATCATCAGCAACGTGATCATCATAATAACAATCAGCATCATGAGCATTATCAGCATCAGCATCAGCATAATCACCATCAGCATCATCAGTAGCAGCAGCATCATCACCATCATAAGCACCAGCATCGTCATCATCAGCATCACCACCACCACCATCATCGTCTTCATATCAGCAGCATAATCACCATCATCATCAGTAGCATCATCATCCTGAACAGCAGCATCTTCATCAGCATCATCAACAACACTATATTCATCACCAGCATCATCATCATCATCGTCATCATCACTATCATCAGCACCAGCACCAGCAACAGAACCAGCACCAGCACCAACATCAGCATCATCTCGCCATCCGCACCACCACCGTCACCATCGCCGTCAACTCATCAGCATCGATGTTACCGTCGCCATCATCGCCATCATCAAGATACATCACCTCCACCGTCATCAGAGCAGCATCATCATCTGTTCCTGTTCCTCCGATGCTTCTGTCGCCAAATTTCTATTCAACCTCATCATCATCCATCCTCCTGTCCACACACACAGACGCGCGCGCGCACGAACGCACACACGAACACACGCTTTGGCGATCGCGGTCTAACGCGCAGCGACGAGGCGGCGAGAACACACGAACACGCACCCGCACACGCACACAAACACAAACACACACACACACACACCCGTGTGGTTGACGCCGGCGGCTATGCAGAAGGCGTGCGCTGGCGGGTAAAGCAAAACGGGGCGCTAGGCGAATTCAGTCACCATGCAGAGGGAAGGGAGGCGCGCACACACACACACACACACACACACACACACACACACACACACACACGCGCGCGCACACACACACACTTACACACACGCACGCACACACACACACACAGACGCCCACGCACAACCACCACCACCACCCATTCATCTTCCCTACCCCTCCCCCTCCACCTGTTCATGCTGCTTGAACCTGCCTCAAAATCTCAGAGAATGCTGCTTACGTTAAACCACACAAGAAAAATCAATGCTATACATGACCGTCGCGCGTGATACCCATCACGGCCTGCACTGCCTCCTTCACTGCCAGCACCTCTGCCATTGAGGAAGACATTCGTGTCTCGAATCACGCCCCTACATTGCAAATGGTGGCTGTGATTTCGTACTCTCGACGGCTCACCACAGCTTCAAGACACCACACTACTGCAGAGCATGAGTTCGCACATGTGTCGACATCGCTCGCATGCTGACTTTCCCACTGGGACCGCAGATGGAGCTCCCTGTGGGGGATAATCCATGTGGGAGGGGTGCGCCGAAATGGCCAAGAGGGCGCATGAAAATTTTCCTGCTGAGGCCGTAGGTGGAGGTCTTTGCGGAGCACGATCCGCGTGAGGGGTGCCCCGAACAAGTCCAGGGGGCGCATGGAAACTTCCGGGTTGAGGCTGTCGGTGGAATTCCCTGTGGAGCCCGATCCGTATGAAAAGAATGCACCGGAAAAAGCTGGAGGATGCATGCAAACTCTTGCACTAAGGCCGTAGGTGAGGCTCCGTGTGGGGCGCAATCCGTGTGAGGGGTGTGCCGCAAAAGGCCCGGGGGCCCATGCAAGCTTCCCCACTAGGGCCGTAGGTGAATGGTGCGCCGAAATGAGCACGGGGGACACATGCGAACTTCCCCACTGGGGCCGCAAATTCAACTTCGAGTGAAGCACAGTCCGTTTGAAAGGGAGAAGAGACGCGCGGCGTTGCAAAATCTGAACGAATCACCTAACACCACAGGAGAGCATGAAACATCTGAAATCCGAAGAAAATATATGTTGCCAAAGACGAAGGCCTTCACGATGACCTCGCCTGAATGAAATACCCAAGCAGAGTGACATGGGGCTAACAGGAAAAATGGGTTAGGAGCCCCGACGGCGCAAACACAGATGTGGCGAGCACCGTCGCACCTCAGACCCACAGTTGTGATCGAAGGCAGACAACTGCCCAGCAACACCGCACCTGTAAGCCAAGACCGTGGTCAGAGGTCCCCTACTACTACTACTACTACTACTACTACTACTACTACTACTACTACTACTACTACTACTACTACTACTACTACTACTACGACTACTACTACTACTACTACTACTACTACTACTACTACTACTACTACTACTACTACTACTACTACTACTACTACTACTGCTGCTGCTGCTGCTGCTGCTGCTGCT